AAAATTACCTAAAAAATACAAATTCATTTCAATTTAATAAATAAATCATTCCAAAATTTAATTTAATTAAATGAGCACCCATACATAATTAAAATTACCTAAAAAATACAAATTCATTTCAATTTTATAAATCTCCAAATTAAAATTATGCATGTATTATTAGTGTTAAAAATAAATTTAATTTTTTTTACACAAAGTAGTGAAAAAATATGTAATTTAATAATGATATTAAGTTTTTTTAAGAAATAATAAAATTTAAATTATAACATTTATTGTTGTAAATTAAAATTAGAATCTGGATCAATGTAAATTAAAATTATTATCTTAATTAATTGTTATATTTTACATAGAATTTAAACTTTAAAAACAAAATATTATAAAAAACAAAAATATATGTACTATATTTAATATTTTTCAAAAGTTTAGGGGGTAGCTTATCAATAAAAAAGAATTTCATGAATCAGTTAGCGAAATATTTGTCAAGTAGATTATTTTGAAACATAATTAATAGTGTATAGATCATTTTGAAATAAAAAATTATGTTTAAACTAAATTAAAATAAATTACATAATTAATAGCCTATTTATTGAGTTTAACCCATAGGAATTGCATATCCTAATCTACAAATCCCTTTGTAGTTAAAAAAAAAAAAAAGCAAAGTAAAGAGGTCAGCAATGGAATTGGGTTAGGGATGTCAACGAGACTCCACGGGGCTGGGGAGTCCCTCCCTATCCCGGTCCCCACTATTCGCAGGATGGGGATTTCTATGGGGCCGAAATTTTAACAAGCGGTAGATTTTGCCCCGTCCCCGTTCCCCTTCGGGGATCCCTGTTCCCCACGGGGATCCCCATTCCCCGCCAAGATCCCCATCCTAGCAATCCAGCAGTAACTTCAAACCAGCAATATTTCCAAACCAACGGCATGTTGTTCCACTCCGACAGTAGCTTCGGCAGCAGTAGCTCTGGAAGCAACTCCAGCAGCAGCTTTGGCAGCAACTCCGGTAGCAGCAGCAACTCTGGTAGCAGCAGTTTCGGTAGTAGCAACTCTGGCAGTGACTCCAGTAGCAGTAGCTCTGGCAGTAACTCCAGCAACAGCAGCTTTAGCAGCAGCTCTGGCAGCAGCTCTAGCAGCAGCAACTCTAGCACCAGCTTTGGCAGCAACTCTAGCACCAGCTTTGGCAGCAGCTCCAGAATAGCAATACGTTGGGTGAAACTAAGGCTAGAAGGGCAACAATGGAGGGATTTTGGATCTGAAGAGTGCTTACGGTAGAAGGGAATGTGAAGGTGAGAGTGATGAGAAATGAGTGAAGTTAGGGTTAAATGGTTAATAATGGGTTGGGTTGGGTAAAATTGAATTAAGTTTAATTTTTATTGGGTTGGATTGGATAAAATTGAATTAAGTTTAATTTTTATTGGGTTGGATTGGATAAAATTAAATTATGTTTAATTTTTATTGGATTGGATTTGATTTTGGGTTTGAAAGTTAAATTAAATTTAAAAAATATATTTTTTTTTACGGGAATGAAAATCCAAACAAGGCTTTATGAAAATCCAAACAAGGCTTTATGGAATGGGTAAAATTTCTCATGAAATTTCCTGCAGGGAAAATAACTCTCGTTCTTGTCCCGCGAAGAAAAATATTCCTCCTCGTCCCGCCCCGTCCTGTAATGGGATCTCACGGGGCCTCGCGGGAATTAGGGCAAATTACCACCCTTAAATGGGGCTGACACCACGACAGCTGTATAATTGCACCCAACGTTTCGCTACACACGTTGTATAGAATTGCCCACCTTGTTTCCCTCCATTAAATGACGGAAAACGCACTCGCTAAAAGGAAAAAACGCGGAAACGTGTTTGTTGTCTCAGATTAAGTGTATTTCTCTACACACGTCGATGCTTGATGATCATGCTTAACCTTTCTTTTCCAACAGACTCGATCCCTTATTCCAACACACTCTGCTTCTTCCTCTGCTGTTCCTTCGCCGGAATCTCCACCGCCGATCCATCATGATAGATTTGTTTACGCATGACATATCTCTGCACTATGTTTGTTTGGCGATCGGTGCGCGTTATTCATCGCCTTCTGGTTTGTTACGTTGCCCTGGAAACTGTTCTTTCTTTTGTAACCTTCTTTTCCCTTTCGATGTTTATTTAACGGATGTCAAGTTGATTTTGTGTCGCCGGATTGATGCCAGGTCGATGGTTTTTTTTTCACGGGTAGCTTCCGATTTTAGGCGGCGAAGAATTGAGGAAACCTGGCCAATTTTGGTTTTGAGGCTCTGCACGCTTTCTGGTAAGTGTTAGGGATTTGTATTTATCAATGTGGATGAGTGTGCAGGTCGTTTATGATGTTTAGTTTTGCTTGATGATCTCTGCTCACTCTATCTTAGTGAATTCGCTTGTGTGTTTCTTTCTTTTTGTTATATTGCCTTTATGTGCTCCTGATTCCCTAGTTAATCCGTTTGCCAAGCGGCGTCTCATTAGGTCTTTGTGCTTCCAATGAAATTGATTATTTTTAGTTGCTGTTTCACTAATTTTCCATAAGGAGCTAGGAATAACTAGGAATAGCTAAGCCTTAGGCAAATTACCTCCTTCTGGAAAATATTTTCCATGGAATATATGTGCTTTTCCAAACATTATTCTCTGGTGTTTGCATCATCCTGGAAAAATTTTTATAGAAAATATTTTTTACTGCTTGGTTTGTAATGGAAAATCTTCAAATTTTCCTTAACATTAAATTTATAAATACATTAGTAGTTTAGAACTCATAAAGTTAAATAGAAATAAAAGTATTTCAAAATTCAATTATATATTTGGTCTACTAGCTAGCACATTGCATTTACTAGTTCTCTTTTCTCTGTCCATTCTTTGGTTTCTTCTCTATGCATTTTGTGTATAATGAGCTCTTTGCCTTGCATAATTACTGCTTTCATCAATTGCTTTTTGATTAATTGAGTGATTAGGATCTAACTCGTATAATAAAATTATGAAGGATGCAATGCAACATGCAAATACTATTTTGTTATTTTGGTTGCAACACATTTACTTTCTATGACCCCATTTAATTTCCACACTTGTCAAAAAAATAATTTTCTAATTTTTTTTTCTAATTGTTAAAAAATCACAATTCTATTTATTTTGTTGCAATAGAACATATCCCACTACCACTCAAGTCCAGCTTTATTTATTTCATTACTTTTAAAGTTTTAATTATTTCAAGATAATAATTGGGAGATTGGGGTGGGGGACATGAGTTCATGTCAGCAACCTTTGAAGGTCAACAACTCCACCAGCAAACAAATTTGGCTCCGCATCAAGGAATGGGT